TTCATTCTATCTGTATTCTCCCATTCTGCACTAAGTGTTAGTTCATTATTAAGATTCTGCTGTCAAGTCTATGAGCAATTAGCGGGTTTTGATTAGATAGAAAACTTTTAACTGCTCTGACTGTATGATCTGGTTGAATTGTCTCTGTAAAGTGCCTCAGGATGTTGTGTGGTGAATTGGCGCTATACAAATAAACTGAATTTAATTAAATCTAAATTAAATGAACCCCTCATCCATACTGTACTTTCTGCAGATCTCCCATTATAGGAACCTTAATACATTCTTTGTGGGAATGTCCTAGATTTTTTGGTGCAAGGCTGTTAATACATCATCAGAGTTTGCAAACGTTAATTTTGCAACTGTTGGCCACAGTTGTCTGGACCAAAGGTGGCTTCTACCGCATGCTGGACATTTTATACCTAAAGCTATCTTCAGGAAGAGTTGATCTAAAACCTTCATTACTTCATTATTGGTTGATGAGTATTAACAGAATAAAAGGCCTATTTAAAGAGATTGGAGGATTTGTTGTTGTTTTGTGTTTGCTTTTTTTGTACAATCTTAATTGTAGATGGAAAGTGTGTTCCTTTAAGTCTGTTTTCAAGGGTAAAGCATCATTCTAACTCATAGGTTATTTATTGGCTTTAAAGGTGTTATGGATATGTTTTTTGGTAGAGAGAATGGGTGAGGGTAGGTGTGATGATTGTTAACGGAGTTGGCGGGGGTGGGAGTGGGGTTCTGGCTCTGTTCACTGGAAACTGTATGTCATATGAATATGATACCCTGCAGTGTGATGTTATCCCTTTTCTTCTTTCATAAAGATAAAAAATATCTTACAAAAAATAAATTACAATGCAGGGAAACTATTCCTAAAAGTACTTTTTCTTTTCAAAAAGTTACAAAAGTGGATGTAACTCCACCCGAAACTGGATGTGGGCATCCCTGGCAGTATTTCTGAGGCTTGTATTTTGTTTATATCAATAACAAAATAACATTGTATTTTATATACTATGATTATGATACTCGGTTTGAGAATAGTTTTCGATTTGACGTTGACTTTTTTCTACATTTTATTAAATACTGTAGAGTTATGATATTTTCTTTTTATCGTGTCTCACCAAGTGTATATATGTACTTTATGAATTTACTGATCAAAACTCAAATCTTCATTATATTAAGCACGATAAACTTTTATTTATGATATACATCAGAAAATGTTTTTTCTTTTTTTGTGTTGCTTTGGTTTACAGTTTACTAATATCTCTCAGAAGCATTACATTCTACTTCCAGTCCTGCTTAGTTACTATTCTGTAGGATCCTGCATATTTCAATCCTTTTTCATTTATCTTAAAATAAGTTTTCCCAAATTTCCGATACCACAGACTCAGAGACCAGATACTTGTTCACTGAAGTAGGTTTGCATCACCACATTGCAGAAGTTTATTCTGGTAAATGTTGCATGTTAATCAGCCAGTCTTCATTATCTCTGGGGAAAATCACTACGGCAAGTTTTTTGGAGAGCGTGCATAAAATCAGGACTGCAGACTTTAAACTTTATGAGTTGTTTATAATAAGCTGTCGCCGCATGTTCTGAAAAAATATTTTCCTTCCCCAATGAAGTCAGTTTTTTTTTTTTTTTTTAAGAAAACCAGGGCAGAGGTTGTTAATGTTGTTTACCAGCTGCACTGCTTCCCCCTCGTTTTTGCTTCTGCGCCATCATTGATCCCTTAGCGGGAGCCGTTTCACCTATTGCAAAATAAAACCTCTGCAACAGCAACATGTTGAATTAAAAGCGATCCAGTTCAGGCTTTTAAAAGTCTACGGAGGCTCATGCAGGGCTGCAAACTCAACACAACTCTGAACCTGTTTATCCATGGAGCGTCCCAACAAGGTCAGCCCAGGTAAATCCATTTTCCTTCATTGATTCCCCAAATCAAATCTGTTCCAATCACAACAGAAGAAATGCAAGTAGACTGAAGGAGACGATCGATGACGTTTTAAGCGGCCGGACAGCAGAGATGGAGAAAAGCTTTGTAGATCAATCAGGGTGATGACCCCAATGTTTTGTGGATTCACTTAAAGCTTGCGTTGTGGACTACTTTGTGTGGTGAGCCAACACAGATAAAATATCCTCGGGGAGAGAGACTGAGCAGACTCCAAAGTGACAATAAATTTAGATGACGATAAAAGTAATTTCTAAATTTAAGGGCTCTATTAATTCTCGTGCAGCACCTCTGCCAGCTGTGGTTTTTGATGAGGGTCAGGAGGAGAGCCAACATTAATAACAGCTGCCATATTACGGCTGAATGTGACCGGGGACGGCGTCCTGTTTGACAGTGTCCTCTTGCAGATGACATATGATGCCATTAGGTGCCATTATAGGTCAAGCCGCACACAAACACAAGCGGGCATACGAGGAACAAGTGTAAATCAGTCTAATCCAACCGCGAGAAGAGGGCAGGATAACCCCCTTTGCACGACAGCTAAAGGGACGGGGATTAGTGTCACAGGACGAGCTTGAGTCATGATGAAAAACTGCGATAGAGCACAGCTGTCACTCATAGATGACGACGCTAAATATGTCTCACTCATATGGAGGGAATTTTGTTCTATTATTGTTGCGAGCAAAGAACATGTTAGATTAGATGCAATCTGTCAATGAAACTCTGATTTTATATTTTCTAGATTTTAGTTTTTCAAAATAAAATTTAAAAGATTTTATATTTTCGATTGTTTTTGCAATCGAAAATATAAAATCTCTTAAATTTTATTTTTATTTATTATTATTTTTTTATTGTTTTTGCGGCTGCTCAGTGGCAAGAAAGTTCCGGCTTCGATTTTTGGCTTGAGGTCTTTCTGCATTGAGTTTGCATGTTCTCCCTGAGCATGCGTGGGTTCTCTCCGGATACTCCGGCAGGCCAAGTGTGTGTGTGAATGGCTGTTTGTTCTGCGTCTCTGTGTTCCGCTGCGATGGACTGGCAACCTGACCTGTTGGTCAATGTGCTCGTCAAGAATGAGCGTTTTTACTGGACTTGATGTGAAGAGAATGTGATCAGTTGAACTCAGCAATGCAATTAATAAAATTAAATCCAAGAAAATAAAAAAAATTATATATACATATTTTTTTATTTTATCTTTATTTTCTTGAATTGAGTTTTATGAATTGCCTTGTTTTTAACTTCAGTTCAACTGATCACATTATATATATATATATATATATATATATATATATATATATATATATATATATATATATATATATATATATATATATATATATATATATATTGGGGGTGGAACGGTTCACAAAATCCACGATTCGGTTCGGTTCACGGTTTCGTGGTCACGGTTTTCGGTTTGGTTCGGTATATGTTTATTGTTAAATGGAAAAATAAAAGAATTTATAAAAATTATAAAAATGTATGCATTTTTTTTTTTATGAAATTAATGAAAAAAATAAAAAAAAAATAATGAATTGTAATTATTTTTAATGATTCGCGGAAACCATGGATCATTTCTGCATGTTTTGCTGCTTTGAATTTAATCATCTCACGCATGCTCTCTACCATCCCCAAGGGACTCAGAGGGGTGCGGACGGGAGCCACAGTGGAGGCTGTAGGCTTTGCTTTGAGCAGCCGGTCTGGAGCGCAGCTGAGCGGAGCGCTAATTAGAGTATGTGGGACTTCTGGGTTAGCATTACATGTTGGTCATGTTGCTGTTAGCATAAACAAAACGTGTTGCACAATGCTTGCACACTGTTGCACTTTTATCCACAACTTTCTTTCCGCCGTCATCGTAGGTCACTCTAAATGCAAAGCGGTCCCATACAGCAGACCTATAAAGTGCTGCTGGCGCGTCTTCCAACTCCTGTTCTTTCCCACTCGCCATACCCACACAATTCTCCACAACAACTGATTTTTTTCTGCTACACCCGGCTACGCTGCTTCGCTTCTTCTTCTTCTTGTTTACTACTGGTGGTTGGCTTTGGTCGCAGTACCGCCACCTTCTGCTCTGGAGTGTAAACGCTTCGCCTATGAGAAAAAGGAGCAGCGCATGAACCGAACACAACACACGCGAATCGAACCGAGACAGTCGAACCGAACGGTTCGGATGGTTTTCATAAACCGTTCCATCCCTAATATAAATATATATATATATATATATATATATATATATATATATATATATATATATATATATATATATATATATATATATATATATATATATATATATATATATATATATATATATATATATATATAATTATAAATGTATCTATTAAAAAATTAAATGACAAAAACAAATTTAAAAAAATTAACAATTGTTAAAAAAAAAATTTTTTGTTTAATCAAAATGTTTTCGAAATTTTTATTACTGTTTTTTTGTTGTTGTTGTTTTTTTTTCTAATAACAAAACGTTTTGTTTGTTTTTAACAACATTGGAACAAATGTCCCTCCATACATCTCCTGCTCTCATTGCCACACAGAGACCCAGTAAGTCAGTCCACATGGGCAGGAAGGGATTCCCAGAAAACATCCAGCTGTGGACTTAGTGGGGGTTTTCCTATCTGGATGCATAATTTACCTCAGGTGTCTTACAGAAACAAAACACACAGAATATGAAATAGCCTAAATGAAGGAGCTCATCTAAATAGTATTAAATTTCTTTCTTTCACTGCTATCATACAGATTTACATTATCATCACTGATGCTGTAACCATCCGTATCCCACAAGCAAACGATTTGACTAATCTCCTCCCAAAACCTCCGATGCTCTGACGTCTGTCAATCTAGAGGCAATCTGCAGCATGCCTTGCCTGCACAGCGCAGCCTGGCTGAGCGCAAACTACTCTCCCGGCTCCAAGGTGGCGATTTGGAGGAGAGCGCAGGAGAGGGAGGGCAAGGGGGAGATGCAAACTCTGCAGAAGTTGTTGGCTCCTCTTCTAAGGAGGGGAAAGCAGGTGGAATATCTGTAATCAGAGAGATATAAAGCGAGCTTACCTGCTCAGCAAGAAGACGCACCAACAAGACTGGCTTTCTGTTGCTGCTCCGCTCCTTTCACCTACACTAAATCACTCACATGACTCACACAGGCAGGAGGTGGTGGAGGGGGGATAACCGGCTCTCAGCGTAAACAGTCTCTGCAAAGGCAGGCAGGGAGCTTTCGCTGCAGTGATGCTGTCTCCCATCCTTGCCTTCCCTCCTCTGTCTCATCCCTTTGCTTTGATCCTCCACCCTCCCACACACACACACACACACTCTCCACCGCAAGGTGTTACAAACAGAGTTTGTCTGCATCCACTGCATCTGATTGGCTCCCCGTTCCTCCTCCGCCACCATCCTCTCCACCAGTTTCTGTCTCTGGACTGTCAGCCTTAAAGTGGCAATCCATCACTCTCAAAATGTGGGCGAGGAAAAGAAAAACATTCAATATATTAAAAACATTTTTTATGAGTTTCTTTGCATGTAAATCAAAAGTGAACGAAAAGCAAATTAGGTTTCAGGACTCGGCTGGCGTGTGTGGTTTCCCTTTTCAACTTTTTTCCCCCTAGTTTTAGCCAAAAAAAATTAATGCATCTAATTGTGTTTTAGCTAAAAGACAAGTAGGAGGGGGTTTAATAATTACATTTTACATTTTTTATCGAAATGTACAAGGAAGGTCCGTGTGTTTTGTTTTTCACTGGAACAGAGAACAAAAGAAAATTAAACAGGACAAGAGAACATCATTTGGTGTAACAAGTTGGCCACAATCCATGGAGGCAGAGTCCTAATCTAACAGATGAAAATTATTGTCCTATCTTAGTAAAACTGAAGCTTAAAGGTGATTGCAATTTCTATATAATGGGAAGAGTAAATTGTAAAGGTGAAAAATTAAAACTGGTCCAAGGGATGAATCAGTTATAGTCTCTTCTATCAGTGCATATCACGATAATAAATTAATTTAGCATTACACTACAAAAACTGAGCAAATAAAATATATATATACTTTTTTACCTTAATTTGAGTGGGTAATTATGATGGTCTACCTAAGAAGGAGGGACATTTCTCTTAAAAATAAGAAAATATAATAAACTTAAAATAAGTTCACAGAAGATTGTTTTTTTTTAACATAAATGATCTTATTCCATTGGTAAATTGTCTAAATTACCTCCTCATAACAAGGGAAAATGCAATTATCTGAAGAAGAATTTACTTTTTTTGGTGAATAAACTACATTTTTGTAGTGTGTGTTTTCAGTTCAGGGGCCAAACCAGGGGCAGCACTAGTTCTATAGGGGCACAGCCCCTGTGGGCCCCTGTATCCTGTCAATGAGTAAAGGACATCCATACTCCTCTCTTATAGAATCAATATTATTTCTCAGATATATAAAAATTACGGAAAGGTGTTTTACTGTCACTTTAAACAGTTGTTCAATATCTTACAATTTGATTTTGAATTCTGCTAATGGTATTAGCCCTTGTAAATATGATAAATAGTGAATAAAGTCAATTTTTTTGTGTGTCAATAGATATCTCATGTATAACAACTGAAGAAAACTTTGTGGCATTAGTGCAGTGTGGCTTTGTCTAAATCTACACAAGTTAGAAGCAATATGATTTAAAAAACTCTTGTAATGTTAGCCTTCCAGTGTTTATACTGTAGGTTCCAGCCCAGTAAATGGCCTCTAGTTAAAAGCGCTTTTCAAGTCAAGAGATTTGACCAAAGTGCTTTACAATCAGTCATTCCCTCACACACTGATAGTCGCAAGCAACGTTGCAGCTACAGCAGCTGACAGAAGCAAGGCCGCTATGCACAGGTGCCAACATCATTAGGTAATGCAGGTGAAGTGTCTTGCCCATGGAAAAAATTACAGTGAAGGCCAGAGCTAGGGTTTGAAATGTCAACCCTTTGTATGCAAGGCAAACTCCTGCATCCAACGGCAATTTCAACTATATAGGACTTAGGGGTGGAACGATTCAGAAATTCTACGGTTCGGTTCACGGTTCACAGTTTCGTGGTCACAGTTTTCGGTTCGGTTCGGTATATATTGATTGTTAGCCTGACATGTTGGGCATGTTGCTGTTAGCATAAACAAAACGTGTTGCACAATGCTTGCACACTGTTGCACTTTTATCCACAACTTTCTTTCCGCCGTCATCGTAGGTCACTTTAAATGCAAAGTGGTCCCATACAGCAGACCTATAAAGTGCTGCTGGCGCGTCTTCCAACTCCTGTTTTTTCCCACTCGCCATACCCACACAATTCTCCACAACAACTGATTTTTTTTCTGCTATACCCAGCTACGCTGCTTCGCTTCTTCTTCTTCTTGTTTACTACTAGTGGTTGGCTTTGGTCTCATTTCCGCCACCTTCTGCTCTGGAGTGTAAACGCCCCACCTATTAGAAAAAGGAGCAGCGCATAAACCGAACGCAACACAAGCGAATCGAACCGAGATAGTCGAACCGAACGGTTCAGACGGTTTTCATAAACCGTTCCATCCCTAATAGGACTACAACCAGACAGTCCCTAACCACGTCATTAACACAGCATCCATTGCACAGGTGAAAAAACACCGACCTCATTGAGTAAAAAGGGATATATATGTATAACTTTTGAAGTAATTATAAGTTTTGTCGTTAACTTAGCTTTAGACAACTTTTATTGTCATTTTGTATATAGAGTCAATACAAAACAAAATTTCATTTAGTACAGCTTTTCAGACAGTAAATGAACATTTCCATTCCATAAAGTGCAGCAGTGATCAAACGTAAACAGTGTGGAAGAAAAGACATGGTGCAAAAAAACCAAAGATATTGAAGTTCAGAGCATTAATTTATATGGTTAAAATATGCAGTATTTTGGTTTGGTGTTGTCAGTGTGATGCAGAGTTTATGACATGATTTACAGTTTTTTTTATAACAGTTAAGCGTTCTGATGGCAGTGGGGAAGAAGCTGTTGCAGAATCTTCTGGGCCTGCAGTAAAGGTCCTATATTCTGAAAAATTTACTTTAGAAACATTTTGTTTCAGTCATATGTTTCCTGAAGCCTGTGTATGAGGTTTACAATAAAAAATAAAAAACCCTTTTATCTCTATGATTGATTCTCCACCTCTTAGCTAATGTGTGCTCAAAATGGTATGTTTGAAAAGCATTCCCCTTATGATGTCAGAAGGGGGAAAGCTGTCCATAGGGGTCTATAGCAGCGGATCGGTAGCTACGTTGTTCATCTTATGTATTATTCCAAGCTCTTTGGCTATTGGTTGTCATAGTTGCAGGTTGTGAGGGCGTGGCTTTTGGGAAGATGGGTGTTGGAAAGCAAAAACAGTCATCCAGAGGTTGGCTGAATAAAGAGGTTTTGGGTAAATTCTGTGTGTCTAATCTGAGGAATTTTCCTGCACAAATGGAAAAAAAACATGTTCTGGGGGGCCTCATTGATAATATTTCTTATCTTTAGAAGTAGTATAATATGGGTCCTTTAACATATTTAGGCCAACATGCTCCACTAGTCATCGATCCACCTACTACTCTTTCATGATGGCCACTTTTTACAAAGCCAGAGTCTGCACACGATTTTTTTTCCTCTGTTCAAAGGGCAATCTAAAATTTTCTGTTGTTAAATACACTAGATCAGTGGTCCCCAACCACCGGGCTGCAGACCGGTACCAGTCCGTGGGTCATTTGGTACCGGGCCGCACAGAAAAAAGTATATATATAAAATTTATGGACGATCAGAGTCTGAGTGATGTTTTATTTTGAAAAATATAAAAATAATTGCGGTATTCTCTCCCAATTACATCAGTCGGTGCATCTGTGCCTCTTGACACAGGTTAATTCAGTTCAAGACTCATCCTATCTATAACATCCTATCTTGGTGAGGCGGGATTTTCTGCGATTACAGCGACCAAAACAAAGCTACAGAGCAGACTGGACATCAGGAGCACACTTCGTCTGTCATTTTCTCCGATTACGCCTAGATGGGACCGGTTTGTGATGCTGTTTGTATTTGATTTTATGCCACTAGTATCATTTTACTTGATCGTACCACCCCCCACCCTCCCGGCCGGTCCGTGAAAATATTGTCTGACATATAGCGGTGCAAAAATGGTTGGGGACCGTTGCACTAGATGACATCTGTCTGTAGTTTATTTTGAATTAGTTATTGAAGGAAGTTATTCCCACCCTTCTATCTCTTTTACCTCAAGAAAAAACATGTTGGTTTTGCTGCAGCAGCCTGCACATGGTTGATAAAAGATGTTGTAGAAATGCAGAAAATTACCTGCTGTTTGAACAATGATGTTGACTGGATTCCAAGTGGAGTATTTTTGCATTCCCAAAGTGAAAATGAGAAATAAAGGACCTAATTTTGTAAAAAAAAAAAATACTTTTTTATTTTTTTTATAGTTTTTGTTGAATAGTTGGTCCAACCTTTATTTAATCACTGGGATCAAAAATATTTTTCACAAGGGAAACTTGTGTTAACTTGAATCTGAAGACACAGAAATTTTTCTATCAAATTCTGTTCCATGACTGTTGTCAGATTATTTTTCACACATATTTTTTCATCACAACTGCTAGACTATAAAATATGTATATGAATATGGAAATTGAAAAGAGTCCGTCAGGCTTTTCACAGAGAGGGCTGAGTCTCATGTCGCTCTGAGTGACTTTTCTGAAGAAGGAGCCAATTAAAGTTAATGAGTCTCAGTTGTGCCACCAGCAGATTAGGCCTATAAGCCTCAAATGGGGGTCACACCTTCAGCTTGTGGCATGACTATGGGGGGCATTTAGGTCTTTGTGATGGCAGCAGCAGCAGCAGCAGCCATGTGGCTTGCCGAAGGTTCCCACTTTGTTTTCAATGTGCTTTAATAAATTATTGTATAAACATCTAAAATGCTGCACTAACTTCAGTTTACCAAGTTTTGTAATATTTGCATGGCTCATTGGTAATTAATTAATTGTTACCTCCAACACTGAAGCTTCGATGCAGGCTTCAACCTCAACAGGGTAGTAATGGTGGATCAGTGAGCCAAAGCTTGCTTCATGTGACGTCACTGACATTTCAACCGCTTCACTGCTTCATTTAGACCAAGTCAGCAGACTGCTTTGAGGAATTGCATTTAAGATTGGTCATGATGTCACCGTTCCACACACATTATTAGCAACGAACAGCCCTCGTTTTTTTGGATCATCCTTTCATGGAGCAAACATCAAGGAAATGTCCCCAAGTGTGGGAATATTTCGATATGAAACATCTAATAAGATTTTATATATTCACAGTGTTTATTAGAAAACCTAAAGCCTATACTATCCAGTAGAATAATATTCATGGTATCATGCAAGAGTTGCAGTTCTTACAGACAGCAAATACATAATAGGTAAGATGAATAACATAATAACAGGGTCTTACCTTGGTATTACAGATGCTGTAGTGGAGGTTCAGCAATACTTATCTTCTCCTCCTCTGGACCAAGCAGAGGATCCACTGAAATATGGTGCAGAGCACAAAACTCTCTGTCCAGATCTATACCACCAAGCCAAACAGCACTTTGTCACACCAGACCGACGTCGAGAATCAAGAATCCACCTTTCGTATTCCATTTTCAGAGTTTTTTTAAGTGTTTAACAGAGACGTTAGCACCTCGACGTCGGAGTACACAGAGTGAAGCGAAAAGACTACAACTGTGTGAACAGGCCCCATTTCCGTTTCCGGTGGCAGCGGAATATTGACTATTCCTACAGAACTCAATGGGATTTACAAAATGCTAAATAAAACACTACAGGAACGTTTTTTCTTCACGAAACTTTTTTTTGGAACGTCATTGAACAGCGCTGACGACCCGGTGAGTAGCATATTTTAAAAAAAGAACGTTTAAGGTTGTTTTAAGGACATTATCGGACATGCTCTATGCTAGCCATTCTAAAGCAGCCAGGGGGTGATTCTAAATGAGCCAAAAAGCAGAGACAGGAGCAATTGTCAAACTTTTGGTGTCGATCATTCGATTTCATCCTGGACACTACAGAAAATGGGCTTAAAGTGTAAAAAACCGAACTTCTCCTTTAAGCCAAAACTATACAAAATGATTTTCCATTTAAGATCAATAGCTTTCTTTGTCTGTAAATATATTTTATCCAGAACTCCCCAAGTGGTATTTATGTGCATTAAATGATTTAACTATTGAAATTGGATTCAAGATGTACAAAATAAACTGAATTAACAAAGAGCATCGTTAGGGTTCCAGTTTGTGTGGGTTGTTTTGTGTTTTCCTCTCTCCACCACCAGGCGGTACCCTGTCCTTGTTGGGCCTCCCTGCACACCTGCGGCGCGTTGGGTCATTACCAGAGGAGTACTTGAGCAGCGGACCATCACCACCTCGACGCCAGGTGTTTGCCAGTATTGGGTACTCTAGCCATATTGAGATGAGCAGAGTCTAACCTTTGCCTTGTCTCTCTGAGTCTAAGCTTTGCTTTTGCCCTTTTTTTTTCTGGTAGGATGCCCTCCTGATCCACTGGATAAGCCTGGTCTTTCTACCCGCCTTGGAAAGAATAATTCGAGCCACACTGAGCAAGGGGAAACCCGGTGACAGTCTGTTCCATTGCTCCTTTGGATCCAACGCTAGTCTGCTTGTCCTCCCTCCAACGTGTTCATTCATCTCTGGATTAAACCCCCACAAACTGGACCCAAGGGAAACCAAGAATCCCCCTAACGTGAGTCTTCTCCAGCAATTCACCAGTCTCTGTCATTTTCTCAACGGGACCTGAACTGATCTTTGTGATCTCCCCTTCAGAGAGTTTCTGGTTCCGGTTCTCCAGACCACTGAAGTCCCACTGAGATAACCCTGCATATAATCTCTTTCTCTGCTTTTGTCAATGTCTCAATAAACCTGTTAACTTTTCCCCTGGTTCTCTGAGTGAATCTCTGCATGTGTGTGAGATCTTTAAAACCCATCATGACAAGCATCTCTTCTCAGATTCTTCAAATAATTGAAAAAAATAATAATTCTGACATGTTGACATGTAGATTTTAAAGATTAACATGGCAGTTCTAAAAGTAAATATGATAACAAGCAAAAGTGAGGGAGTACACATGAATATAGTAATGATCAACGACATCAGATCTAAGCTATCGATAATTTTTAACAGCTTTAAAAATTGGATCTTCCCTATTTCTTTGCCGTTTGCGTGAAGTCCAGTTTAATTTTTTAAAGCTTTTTGGTAAAAACTAGTAATCTGTTAATACAGTCAAAAAAGTTTAAATTCCTCTGATGACATAAATATCAAAAACTAAAAAGCTTTGAGCAACAATGTGATTAAAATGCTGAAATAAAGCTGTTTTTAGAAAAATCTGTTAAACCGGCCTTACTCTTGCAAAGTTTTTTTTTTAAAAAAGGGGGTGAATTGTAATGAGGTAAGCTGCAGTTGCAAAAAACAAGTTGTGACAAAGCAATTAGTAATGACTTTACAATTAAGTCTATTTAAAGAAATGCATCATCACAGTTATGTATAAAATGGACTATATATAAAAGGTTGACTTGGATTATTTCTGTGCTTTTAGCTTCTCTCTTTCCATGTTTCATGATTATGATTATACCTTAATGTAATTATGTCACAAAGCCTTCAAAGCCTCTAGACAAATGATCCAGAGTCAAAGATCTCTGAGTATTAAACCTGACATAAAGGTCACCCTGTCCTGGAAAAGGATGTTTTAATGCCTTTTAGTTCTCTGAATGTCAGTTTTTTATAATATAGAATATAATTGTACTGCCTGTTGTGTCAGGCTGTGATACACTGTGAAATGTAGTTTTAAAAGCTGGTGAAGTTTTTGCACTTTTAAAAATGGATTTACGTGACAAAATGAACATCTCTTCGATCTTACCACAGAGGGTCTGTGTTGCATCTCTAGCAGGGACCTATGAAAATTTTAAACCGCAGGTATCTCTCTGGGGTTCTTTTGTCTGTAGTGACAGGTACTTGCATACAATGCTTCCCAACTGTAAAACTCTGATTCCTGCAGATTCAGGCAGACTGGAGTCTAATTACATGTTTGAAAGGCTTGAAGGGTACCCATTGATGTCAGCCTTGTGCTTGTGAAGAGGTGAGTGCAGTTACTGTGTGCATTAAATGGAACTTCAGTTAGCCAATTAGCAGCACGAATCCTGCTGTCTTTCTGCTCTAATCCCAGTGAGGCAGAGCCAGAATATTTCAGAACAGATAATTCCAAGGGTTGCAGGAGCACTCAAAGAGCAGATGTGTGTTTTATTGGGTAAGAAGAAATACATTTTAAATAGTATTTTTATTCAGGGTTGAGTTTAAACATCTGCTGCAGAATAACTACCTTATGGTCCATGTCAAACCTGTACGCAGACTCCTAACATACAGATTCTGAAAGATTCATAGTGAGGAGAGTCTCTTCCATCATCAGTAACTCAATATATGAAAATTCTACACAACAGATTTAGACTAAGTGATATTTTAGGGCTACTACTGAAGGTGGACATTTAAGAGTTCAATCTGAAAAACTTACACAAGAGAAAAGACGATTGGGAGAAATGTATTGATACAACTACTTTGTCTTTGGCGCTCAGACCTCTGCAGGAAACATAGCGCTTAGTTTTGATAGATATGTATGAACAGTAGCAAAGAACAGGGCTGTTTCCCCCCCCCCAGGCCTGAAACTGGTAGTGGAGTGAAGATAGATGAAGTTGGTCAGTCTGTAGACCTCTGGTTAGTGAGACGGTATGCTGAGATTTATGGAGAGATCCAGTGGACTGCATGAGCTAATACTAGAGCTTCACTCAGGGAGATGGAAGATGGAAGTCCAGTTTGATAACACAGATTGAGAGAACCTGTCCATGATGAGCAAGCATGAAGCAGCGGTGGAGAGGAAAAACTACCTGTTGGGAAGAAACCTCTGGCAGAACCAGGCTCAATTGTCATGATCTGGCCTGTTTGCTCTCGTTTAATTGGTCATTTCTTTCACCTGTCCCTCCCTGCCTCAATTATCATTTATTCCTCTCACCCCTTTCCTTTGGTTTATATTCTGTTCAACCTGAGCATTCGGGGCCAGATCATTATTTGTTTTCCTGTTAGTCTGTCCAGTTCTGTTCATTTGATGCCACGGTTCATGTTCTGGATCCTGGCGGCCAGTGGAAAAAGGGTTTGTGTCTGTCTCATCTCCTGCTTGTCCACTGTTCCTCCCCTGCTGAGTCCTCTGGGTTTTTGGCTCTATATGTGGGGAGGTTCAGTTTTTATCCCAGTAAGCCTGGCTCCAAGGTGGAGACCAGTTTAAAGGTCCTGCATCAAGTTCTGGTTCCATGTCCTGTCTCTGCTACCCTCTGCCACTGAGCCTGCCCGTCTGCACCTAATCCTGTCTGCTCCGGTGCGTGACCAGCTGGTCAGCCCATCTGCTGGTTCGCGCCCCTTGAAGTGTTATGGTCTGAACTGCTAAACCAGAGTGTGATTGGGCGGTGCCCCGCCCCTGCTCCTGCAGCATCCGCGAGCCGCAGTTCCTAGCAGCTCCACTTTAGTTTTGTTTTGTTCTTCGTTTAATGAATGTTTTGAACTTGCCTACTGACTGTCTCATCTTGAATACTGGGTCCATCTGTCCTCGTTTCATGACATCAACATGGCGGTCTTCTGCCGGACCGGTTGAGATGAGACAGGGAACGCAGTAAGAGTCTGGGAGGAGTTTTTGAGATATGTAATTTTTGCTTTTACTCGAGTAAATCTTAACCTAAGTAGTTTTACTTTGCTACATTTAAAACCCTCTCATGTTACTGAGTGAAAAAAATAAATAAATACTGATGGTGAAAAAATTTTATGTGGCCCTGCCTTGCAATTACCCTTTGTATCGTCTCATAATCCAGTGCTGCGCTTTGGAAGATGGCAGTTGCTAATCACAACTTAGGGAGTATGGATGAGGAAAGGCCTGAAGAGGAAACATATTCTGGAGACGAAAGCCAGAAAAACCCATGGCCATATTTGGAAGAATTTTTGTTTTCAAATGCACAAAAGGGAACAATGTGATAATGCAGTGCAACATGTGCCTTTCCAGCAAAATGGAGCTTTCGGCATTTAAAACATCAACAGCCAATTTACGAAAAAATGTGGCGGTAAGCTAGTTATCATGGTGTTGTCTGTTGGACAGTAGGATTGAAAATTGTTTGCACTTTATGGCACAGGTTGTGACTGTCCTTGTACTGTGAGGAAGTATGTTCCTTAGCCCAGCAGATCTTTTGCAAGTGTGGATGTCCACTGAAATACGCCTTGAAATCGATTAAAACACCTTGTGCTCAATTCGATTCATGACTCATCCTTTTTTTGCATTAAATAACTCAAAGTAACTAAGTAACTTTTACTCAAATTACATTTTAAATAAAGTAATTTTGTACTTTTACTTGAGTAAATATTGAGATGGGTAATTTTACTTTTACTCTGAGTAGAATTTAGGTAAAGTAAAGATACTTTTACTCAATTACAATTTTTTAGTACTCTTTCCACCTCTGCACACATTCTTATAGCCTGACGTAGTCCGACTCAATTCTAGTCAGAATATGAGTCTGATACTGCTCCATAGAGCTGTGATTATGGGGCGTGTTTTGAACGAACCAGGAAAAAAAATGCCTCTGCACTCAATTGGATAGACCTACAACCAATAAGAGCAACGACGTGCGTGACGTATCTTAAGCGAGGCCTAGTTGTTGTCCACAAAAATCAAAGCGTGCAGTTTCACGCCTAGAATAAGAAGATGAGACTTGATCGCGTTTCTCTGTTCCTCTTTTAAAATTAATTTGCTGTCAATATCTTCTAGAACAGACCTAATAGCAGAATCTACTCACCCAAACTCTCCAGCGGCAGCCATTGTTGTTGTCACCCAAGCGCGCTTTGGTCACGTGGTTGATAACGTTACTCTTGATCATCTGTCCATCATCGTATAAAGCCCGCCCTGACAATTTGATTGGATCGCCTGACAGTGGGCTTTAATACTCGCGCTACTATGGAGCAGAGCCAGACCGAACTTCCCCGAACTCAAACCTTGTGGGCGGGACTAAGTTCGGACTGGCACCCAGGCTAACATTCTTAAGCATTAAAGCCAAACATCTATATCAGGGGTTTTCAAATTCATTGAATCTGAGCCTCCCCTTGGAATAGTTAAAGATGACTAAGTTCACCCCCCCCCCCCCCCACACACACACACACACCCCCCACACACACACACACACACCCCCACCCCCAAGACAAACCTGACGTACACCATCAATTGAGCGCAGTGTCCAATGTCAGTGGAGTCATCCCGTTGAATGTTGTGGATTGGGCTTTTGCGAACCACATGCTCATAAGCCCTGTCGGATATTAATTGCTTGATGGTGTTGTCAGACATTGGGGTCATGTCAAGTTTAGCTGCAGCTGCTTCTCCCAGCGTCGCTGAACACATATCTCTAGCTGCACGCAGCAGAAATGTTTCTCCATCAATATGGTGGGGTTTCCCTGCCTTTGCTAAGAGGAAAGCAGCTTGATAAGATGCCTCAGTGGCCTTGACACTGGTGATGCCAAAAAAAAGCATTACTGCTTTTTGTGACAGCAATTGACAGCAATTCCTCTCAAAAGTTATCATACTGTCGTTTACTAATATCTCTTTGCACAACCACACATTGTGGCCAAGGTGCGCTCTCAGAAACAGACCATATAAAACCTAATTATAAAAAATCAGGATCGTATGTCCTTGTTTTTTTTTAGCAGACTCCTCACTTTGTGCTGACCTCTGTTGTGGTATCAGAAAATGATGCATTTCATTAGGCATACGTATTCACAAAAGTAAGCATGAACAATTAGCCTACTGCAGATGTTTAAAGAAACCATTATATTTCTTCGCGGCTCCCCAGCAACT